GGGCTTGGAAGCAGCTGCCAGGGATATTTGCTCGTTTGCGGGGAGAGAGATTTTAAGGGAATTCTGCACGGAGCCACCTCCCTATCTAGTGGGATCCACGCTCGGTGCAGATGGGATGCCCACGGTGTGCTGGCAGCCGGGTGAGGCCTGCAGGGTTGGGAGAGGGATTCCCTCCCGCTCTGCAGTGAGGATGGTTTTCCTAAGAGAAAGGCCAGGTTTCTGCTGTGCCTCCTAAGTGCGTTGCCCTCTTGTTCCAGCGTTCCTTTCTGGCTTCAGCGTTCCCCTGTTCCCATCCCACATGTTCCAACTGTGTGATTGTCACATGCTTGTCACACGTTCATGTCATTCTTCAAGTTTTCCTCCCTGCTCTCCTAAAAGTTGGAAATCCTATATTTTTTCCAAGCGAAACTTGTCATTTCTTGTGTGACTTGTCCTTGAGTTCATATCCCCACCTCTGATGTGGGCCTCACGGCCTGACTCGTGCTCTGGTAGGTTGTGTGTGGGGCCATCAGCTGAGGAGCTCCCCGTGGACAGGAGCACTGCATTCTCACCTGCGTGTTCTCAGTGTCTTCTGTAGAATCAGTTTTATTAGTGTTCGGCTACTGAGCTACTCATATTATGTACTGAGCACCTACTATGTGCCAGGCATTGTTTTAGGCACTAGAATGTGGCAGGAACAAAATAGACAAGGTCCTACATCAAAGAGCTTTTATTTGAAACAACCCCGTCAACTAGCGCTTCCTGTGATGAGGGAAACATCCCCTCTCTGTCCCCCCGTCTGTCCAGGGTGGTGGTCACTTGCCCATATGACAGTTGAACACGTGGAATGTGGCTGGTGGGACTGGGGAGCTGAGTTTCACATTTTCTTCTATTTAAATAGTCACTTGGTGATTGAGGCTCTACCCTATTGGACAGCACAGATCTAAAAGATGATTTGGAAGTTTTAGACATTTCATGGTTGGATATCATTCACATGTTACTTTATGGTAAATATTGAGCTTTACTTTTGTTGTGCAATCAGTTTATGTTTGTCATACTTTTTTACAGGGGCTACTACCCAAAAGGGGGTGGTGAAGTGATTGTCCAGGTGTCACCAGTCAAACAATTGAACCCAATAAATATAACTGAACGTGGCTCTGTGACTAAGATATATGGGAGAGCTTTCGTTGCTGGTGTTTTGCCATTTAAAGTAAGTTGTCTAGAGGTGCTTAGAAGTGTATGTAGGTCCAGATAACTATTATATCAATTAAAGTTGGAAATTATTGGAAGAACTTAATTTTTTCATAAATATTTTCATTAAAATTTTTTCTTAAAATTCTGTGCTCTCTACTCATGAAAATCAAGTTTTTATATAATGCACGTAAAAGTTACTTTATTTGTCTTTGAAGCCGTGAAGATGACTGGCAAGATAATCATTAACTTATTTTACTCTGTTTTTCTGTTTTGCCAAAATAGGTGGCGAAGGAGATGGCGGCCGCGGCTGTGAGGAGCATCAGGAAGGAGTTCAGGGATCTGTACGTGAACGTCCAGCCCGTCCAGGAGCCGAGAGACCAAGCCTTTGGCAATGGCAGTGGAATCATGTACGACTGTATACTTTCTCCTAGACTTTGGTCGAGAACCCCGAATTATTATCTTATTTAAATATAAGATTTAGAGGTGTGGGTTTTTTTGTTTAAATTAATAGTTTTAAGAAGATACATTTTAAAGGGCATTTACACCTAAAACAGCTATCCAATGAGTTAAGATGGTTACTTTATTCCAAATTGTTTTCTGAGCTTGGTTTGCCTTTATTACATTGTAAGAGCCCTTTGTCTATACAGTGAACTTCAGCATTAACCCTAATCAGAAGTTAGCCCCTTAAACTGACCTGAGAGACGTATTTCCAGTTGCTTTTCTGTACCTCAATACGAAGTCAGTTTACAAGCTAATATTTAATATGGCCAACATCTTTTAGAAAAGAAATATAACCACTATTTTAATCCAATTAGGAGTTAGTGATGTAAGTGTTATAAAAATGCTTTAATTGCTATTTCTGAAGTATAAAAGTATCTTTTTGTGGATATTTAAATGTTAAAGTCTCTTTTTCAGAGTTTCTGCTAAAGGAGTTAAAGTAAATGCATGCTCTCCGTAGGATAATACTTTCTGAAGCCTATAAAACAAAAACAGGCATCTCTGTAGAAAGACCTCTTCATTTAAAATCCTCATAAAATGCTTTATAGTGCAGTGTGGCTGTGACGTGGTAGCACTTAGTGCTGGGCAGAACTCCCGGGGGGGCCACTCCCTACCTCGAGTGGATTAGGATCTAGGGAGAGGGGCACTAATGCCTCAGTGAAGATGGAGAAGGCCCATCGTGCCGCTCCCTGGGTGAAGAACTTCACTTTTGCAACACACTGACCGGATCTGACCCCTCGTGTTTAACAGTCACCGTCCTGCTATGTCCTGTTTGCGTGTAAGGCTGGGATATTTGTGGCACAGGCAATGACACTTCCTTCTTCTGTAGCATTGTTGCTGAGACGTCCACGGGCTGCCTGCTGGCTGGGTCATCGCTTGGCAAACGAGGTACAGACACGGGAAGGGGTCTCCTGTGCCCAGCGCCGGGGTACAATTCTCTGATGCTCCTTCGGGATGAGAATGGTAGAGTGATGGGTGGCAAGTTGGAAAGGGCGTGGTTGGCTGATTCTGTTTTGGAGTCCATTAAATTTTCAGTCTTTCTCCCAACTTTGAAAGATCTCAAACCCTTGGGAAAGTTGAATGACTAGTGGTCCATACAGTTCTCCCTGATCCACGAATCATGGACATAGAGCTACAGGTTGTGTGTGTTTCTGGAGCATTCTGTGTAAGTGGCAGGAACACTGAAGATGCAACATGTATGTACAAAGGACAACACCTGTATAATCACAACGCCATTCTTTCCCCCAGAGAATGTGTCTGTCATCTTCCGACATAACCAGGAGCCTCCAAAATAGTCTTTAGAGCAATATGGATTTTTTTTTTTTTTTTTTAGCACACACAGCCTTTGGTCATCATGTCTGTCCAGTTTCTTTTTACTACAGAACAGTCTCTTTACCTTTTTATCCCCCTTTTATAATATGACATTTTGAAAAATCCAAGCCTTTTTCTCATAAGATTTCCCACCATTTGGGCTTGCTTAGTTGTCTCGTGATTCAATATAATATTTGCATATGCCGAGTGCTCATAAGATTAAATATATGGAGAGCCTTTGTCCTAAAAGTTGCTCTGGATGAGTTGAGAGGCCTAAAACATGTTGTGTCCTTGCTAACAGGGATACATGAATTCAAGTTTTTGCCTCTTAATTTTTTTTTTTTTTTTACGTTCCCATCGCAGGTGTAAATGCAGACAAGGTTGGAATCGAAGCTGCCGAAATGCTCTTAGCAAACCTTAGACACGGTGGTGCCGTGGATGAGTATCTGCAAGACCAGGTATCGACGCTTCCAGGTGGAGCCTTTGAGCCTGTTAGATTCGAATATTTGGGAGCTGCACTGAATATAAGTTTTAATTGTTGACTTTCAGACACCGATCGGCGTGTTGCAGTTGAGTTAGTTATTAAAATACTCTGGGATTTATATTCCCCAGACTCCAGACCTCCCCTTATGTGACCCGGCCCCAGCATTCACATGGCTGCCGATACACTATTATCTTTCTGTCTCACCGGCATCTGTTCTAGTCTCTTTGCTAGTTTGTCATTGTTTCCCCATTTACTCAACTTCTAACTGTTGGAGAGCCCGAGGCTCGGGCTCCACCTCTTTCCTGTGTCTGTTTTCGCTCCTTCGCTTACTCTGTCCTGTCTCCGGCGTTAAGTACCTGCCCATACACTGACAGTCCTCAGATCTCTACACAAGCCCAGACCTCTCTCCGCACCAGACCTCTCAGGCCCGCAGCATCTCCACTCGGAAGCGTCAGAGGCCTCTCAACCCCGACACGCCTGCTCACACTGAGAAATGCTAGTGAATATTTCCAAGCAACATCTTTTCAGGTCCTCTGTCTCGATAAATTTTTCTTTCTGCCACACTTTTCTCTTCTTGATCTCAAGTCAGCATTCTACATTTAGAAAGGTATTCCCCAAGGTTTCTTAACCAGTTTCTTAAGACAGTTTTCCTTATTTCTAATCCCTTCCTTCTTGCCCAGGTCTACTCTACGCTCATCGTAATTCTGAATTAGTGTATTGATTTACCTGTTAAAAGGTTGTAATTTTAGAGAGGGGAAGAAGCTTGTCATATTACGTATACCAGCCTGTACAGATAGCTGATCTGATTAAATACGTCAACTTTCAACTCTCTATGTTATTTTTAAACATTAACTTTAAAAAATAAAAAAATCTATATTGAGGACTGCTGATGAGCATGTCTGCACCACACGACAGACTTTGGGCGACACAGGTTTTCTGTCATCTTCTTAGGACTTCCAGAAGCCTGAAGAGATAGAAATTCTTCTAGCTATTTTGATTTCTAGTATTTTTATGTGGAAAGAAATAGAGTTTTAACTCTGAGTGTTGGTGAATGTGTGACATGTTTTTTCTTTATTCCTTTTCAATAGCTGATCATTTTCATGGCCTTGGCCAGCGGAGTTTCCAGAATAAAGACGGGGCCAGTTACACTCCACACACAAACGGCTATCCATTTCGCTGAACAGCTAGCCAAGGTGAGTATTCCATCAAAAAAGCAATTGATTTTTATTGTAGCCAATTTGGGGTCAAAATGGAACAAACAGAAACCTAGCAGTCGTCATGATTGCTGTCGCTCCGGAGTACTCCCTGTGGGGCAGACGCGGAGCTCGCTCAGCAGGTATCTGAATCCTGGCCACTTTAGGTGGCTGGCTGTTCCTATTCCCATTTCACATACGAGTAGACTGCGGCCGAGGGGGTAAAGTAACGGCTGGGACCACACGGTTTCTTGGTGGCAGAGCTGGCTTTGGGCAAACCCAGGAAAGCGTACGCTGAAGCCCCGGTGTGGCGCTGCTCTGTCCAGGAGGTGACGATGTTTCCGTGGGAACCAGGAAATCAGATCACGGGCATTTGTCACTGGCCATCAGCTTATTAACTCTCCACCTATTGAAGCTGGAGCTGTGGCTCTTCTCTCTCTGCCTCTGCCCCTCCTCCCATCACTTATACACTAAATACTCTTGATTTCAGGCTAAATTTACTGTGAAGAAGTCAGAAGAAGAAGAAGACGCCTCTAAAGACGCTTACATTATCGAGTGCCAAGGGATCGGGGTGACAAATCCACATCTGTAGGGTGCTGCCTTTTGAATGACACCTCAGTCATCTGTTGTACTAACTCATTTCGTAAATGCTACAAACTATGATTAAGCAGTAACTTATTAAAGGACCCGACGTGCACCCGGAGGCGGGGTGCGGGGTGTTCTGGATTCCCTGAGAGCACGTCATCACGTGCGCCTGACTCCGGATGTCTCCTGGCACGTGGACAGTGAGGTACACACGTTGGCGGCTGTGTCCGACAGCTGATTTCAGTAGGAGAGTATCGATATAAAGTATTCTTTTCCCCTGAAGTGAGTGCGCTTTTCTTTTTTATGGAATAAATTAAGTCAGGGGTGTCGAGTGGACCTTGATTTCTGTGTCGTTCGGATCACTTTGCCGCAGTCTCCTGTGAAGTGTGGACGAGACGACTTCATGCTCACGCCCAGCTGTGTCAGCAAGTCAGTGAGCATTTTCTCATTTTGACTCCACGCACCTTTGCCCTCATTGGGCACTTGCTAAAAATACCCATTTCGAATCTGTTGACTCTTGTGAAAGCCAGACAAGGAGAATTGCAAACCGTGAGCCCAGTCCTGTCATTGTCTGGCTTGCAGTGAACTGACCAAGTGTCTTAGAGCAGTGTGCCTGCCATGGCTCTGGATTATCTCACCCTGGCGCTTCCACACACATTACTTCCTACCCCGTGGGCAGCAGAAACCAGTTTGGTGTATGAGCTAAATATGCCCAACTGAAGTACAGTAAGGAATTCATTCAACCTTGGTTCTGTCCGGGACTTCACCCCGTGATGATTAAAACAGTCCAAAATGTGGCTCAGTGGTTAAGTGTCGACCCTTGAACCGAGAGGTCACCTGTTGGACTCCTGGTCAGGGCACACGCCCAGGTTGCAGGCTCAGTCCCCAGTACGGGGTGTGCAGGAGGGAGCTGATCGATGGTGTTTCTCGTCGATGTTTCTATCTCTGTCTCCCTCTCCTTTCCTCTCTCTAAAATCGATAAAATATATATATAAAAAAACCCACAAAAGAAGAAAGTGCTGAGCTTGTCCATACAGAACCGCTGAATGAAGACAATTACTTCATGGACAGAATCATGATTCTGGTTGGTGATTTCTGTGGCCTTGGACACTTTGGTTCAACTTGCATTGAAGATGAGGGTGACAGTATTGCTGCTACACTGTAGATAAATTTTATAATTCTATTGCTATAACAAATGAGATAAATACATTTCTATGTTAGAGTAAAACTACACTTTTAGTATGTTTAGAGGAGTCGTGATAAATTTGGGGTCTCCAGACTCGTGATCCTGAAAGCTTCTGACAGGCTGTGCAGCGTGGGGAAGAGGTGGGCAGGGTACAGAGGCTGGGGACTTTGGAGTGAGAGAGTCAAGGTCAGCGGTGTACACGAATTCGTGATTAATCTCGGCTTGGGTGTGTCCCCCTTGTTCAGTTTCAGTTTAAGTAAAGTGAAGGTGAGTGACCCGTCCAGGGCTCAAGATTATTAAAATCTTCAGTCCCAAAGGGTCTACATCTCAGTGGTCTGTCTTTAAGGTGTTGCTGTAGTTTTGCCTTGACTTCTATTACTGGATCTGAGAGTACTCAAAGGTACTCGGGATCCCTTGGGCTCTAGACCCAGTCCTCCCTGCTTCCATTGTCACAGCACCACTCAGTTACCCTTAATCATTGGGAGCAATTGCCCCGGTGAAAACAGGGTCCCCAGCTTAGTTACTCCAACAGCACCAGGACTCAGCTTGGCCAGTGGGAGGCTCATCTTCCGGTTCACTGGAGCCATTGCTGTAGTGCCGTCTAGTGGAAGCTTCTCTCCTTTGAGAATTAACTGCTCTAAACCAATGGTGGTCAAAGTTGCAGGGGCCGGAAACAAAATTTGGGGGGTTGTAATTAATTGCCCTGGTCCATGTGTTCTGGCTGTGGGAGGTGACTCTGTTGGTCTCCGGTCCCTGGAAGAGCCCACACCCTATAGGAAGTGCCCTGACCTTCCAGAGGGGTCCCCAAAGGCACCGTAGCCGAATCTTCAGCAGGCTGTTTTATCGACTCAGCTGCTGCCGAGGGAAGTCATACCTGGCAAGACCCGTAAAGGATGGGCATGAGCTCAGCGGTACCCTTCTTTAGTTGAGAAATGAGTTCCTTAAGCAGAAGCAGTATTGTGTGGAACCACCATATAAGTCTGCAGGGAGTCATGACATTGTCTGTTGCCGCAAAACAGCTTCAGAACTTAGCAGCTTAAAACAACACACGTTCATTATGTCGCACTCTGTTGGTCAGGAGTACAGGACCTGCCGAGCTGGCTGGTCCTGGCTCAGGGCATCCCAGGAGGCTGCCGTCAAGCCAAGCCACTGGGTGGAGCTGCAGGCATCTCGAGACCAGTGGGGCTGAAGGATCCACTTCCAGTCTCACTGTGGTGGTGGCAGGCTTCAGTTCCTCCCAGGCTGACCAACCGTGGGCTTTTCCGTAGGGCTTTTGACAACCAGGCAACTTGCTTTGGTTTCCTTAGTGTGAATAAACAGAGAGCACCCCCAAAATGGAACCTATAGTCCTTTTATAACCTAATCTCTGCGGTGATTTCCTATCATTTCTGCTGTATTTTGTTAACTAGAAGCATCCAGTGGCCCAGCTCCTACCCAAGGGGATGGGATTACTCAAGGGCATGAACAACAGGAGGTGGGATTTTTGGGGGTCATTTTAGGGCTTCCTACAACAGTCACACTAGCAGAAACAGACCATTAGGGTTTTGGAGTAGGTAACTTCAGAAACAGCTCTTGGTTTGCTAGACCCTGGTAGAGACTGAACTTCTGATCACATGACCTGAGCTTCCCATGATGAACTGAATGTTTTCTGACCCAGCACGATCCAGGTTGGGTGAAGGATTCAGCAATCCAACATCCAGTGGAAATGGTAGAAATGAGATTAGGCACAGGGAGCCCCCAAAGATACAAGATGTTGATGGGGGCGGCACAGTCTCCTGCAGGGCCTCTCCTGATAACTGCTGTCTCCACCGTCTTATGGCCCTATGGGGGTGTCCCCATCACCCGTTGACTTGGCAGAAAGAGCTAAGGCCTAGTTTGCAGGTGGCATTGTGTGTGTGAGCATCACCTGGCGGCAGACTCGGCAGCAGGACAACCCCATTCACTCGGGTGGGACAGCGGGTGGGGAATCCTTCAGTCACCAGAACCAGAACATGTGTTTGCTTGTCCACTGTGTCTGGGCTGAGAGATGGTCAGGGTGCAAATACACCAATTCATGGACAGTGACTGGCAGTCTGTCTGAAATGATGTCGACTCAGAGAAAAAATGTCTGGCAGATGGGTGACAAAGGATGGGGGGGGTCAATGTCATTTCTCCGTGATCTCAGGGATTCTCCAACATCAGCGTACGTAAGCTTCTCCGGGGGGAGTTATAAAGAAGCAGACTCCCCATCCCCACCCACCCCTGACCGTAGAATTCTGACCAGGTAACTCCAGGGGGACCCGGGGATCTGTATGGTTTTAGACGGACCCCCAAGCGAGCAACTGGTTTGGATTGTCCCCATAACACCTTTTAAGGAACACCGGCTGACAGGAGGCTCCCGGGCTTGGGAAAAGCTACAAGGGCTCAAGTAAGACTTGGGAAGAAACAGGCGCAGGTTGGCTTGTTATTTGTTGTCAATAGGATCAGGTTCCAGAAACTCAAGTAGAAAGACAACCCCAAATCCTTTTTGCCTCTGCTCAGCGTTGATTCAGAGTGGACACGTCACCGCGCTCACGTTACCGCCGAGGCGTGCGGAGGGTCCTATCTGCATGAGAAAGGCGCCCCGCATAAAGGGCCGCTATCCGGTGGCTCTCTCCCGACCCTATCTCTGCGGCCTGCAAAGCCGGCGGAGACAAGGAGCTGTGGGTCTGAATACCAGCCCCACCCCTGTCTAGCCGTCAGCTTCGGGAGAGCTAGCCGAGCCCTTGCAGCCTTGGGTGTTTCGGGGGAATCATAGTTTTGATCTCGGACAGAAGTATGACTTGGGTTGAAACAGTCTTTCTAGACCTCTGTTCTTTCATAAAATAAAGAGGGCTAGAATCTCCGATGCACTTTCCAGCTCCACCATTCTTTGTATATTCTACCAGGATCCTGTTTCTATTATAAACTATTTCTATTATAAACCAGTCTGCCAGGATCCTGTTTCTATTATAAGTGGGAAACATTCAGGTCTTTGCAGAAAACATAAAATCACAATGTTGAGATTTAAAAAGCCATTGAGATCATTCTGCTCCCTTGGGCAGAGAGTTTTGTAATAGCCAGTCTGTTCCTCCCCGGGACACGCCGTGATGACTACGGGTGAAACGAGACCACCTGGAGGGGCTGGTGGAGATCTGCCCCCTAAGTGCCGCCTTATCGGACGAACTCTGTGAATGTCCTCGCCGGACTTTCTGTCTTGGGGAAAAGAGTGTCCACTGACGAGAAACCCAGGCTCCACGACGCCGATGCTGAGTGGACAAGCGGCGGCCCCAACGTGGGCTGTACTAAGGAAGAACGACGCCGGATTCCTTTCGGCCGGAATAGGGAAACAGGGCTTCTCATCTCGCTTGGGTCCTGGCTCAGGTCTCACCCCCTCGGTCACCCCCCCGAGGACACAAAGGGGAAAGGTTTTCCTGTCAAAGACCTGGAGCCTGGAATCCTGCCCTTTCCCACTTTCTCTCCCTTCCCGGCCCCTCCTTGTCCACCCGGACACGCAGCTACGTAGACAACTGACCCTGATGGCATAGTGGGCGTCTGAGGCACAGAGGCTTGCAGGTGAGGGTTTCTTCTCAAGTGCATTTCACATCTCCCAGTTGGCTTTGCACAGCTATCGAATCTCCCAGTTGTGCGTTCTTTTATTTAATTTATTGATTTTAAAGACAGAGAGAGATTTTTTTCCCACTTATTTAAGCATTCATTGGCTGATTCTTGTATGTGCCCTGACCAGGGACCAAACCCACAACCTTGGCGTATCGGAACGACGCTCTAACCAACCGAGCTACCCGACCGGGGCCCAGTTATGGGCTCTTGCCGCGGGAGCCTGCAGGTCTGAAGTACGGAACAGGTACCCTTACTGGCATTCCACTCGGCTCTGAGGTCCCCAAAAGGACCTCACTCTCCGGAGTTTGGTCACTCTGATGGCCCGTCCCCCCTTTCCATCCTGTGGGCCTTTCTGTTTCCTGGAGGACTTACCCTCGCCCTGAGAAGCGGCATCATTCAATCAAGAGGAACAGAGTAGTCAGTGAACCAGGCTCAGGGGAGCCACCGACAGGGCCAGGAACGAATCACAATAGAAAACAGAAGGGCTCCTCCAGGCCACAGTGGGAGAAAGTTCACCAGTGTCGGGGGTCATGGACCA